CAATCAATTTACATTTGAATACATTATTTACAGCATTGTTAATTTATAACAGTTTAGCAATCGCTGTATTATGTTTTACTTAATAAAGTGATTGATAATAAAGTAAGTAATTAAACTGTCATACACCAAGCGGTCACCGGTGACCGCAACCTATTGTTCTATAATTGTGTCTATAATGACGGAACTCGACGAGTTAATCTACATACATACATTAGTTAGTAAAAATGAATTTATGATCGTTTTTTTCGCTAAAACTTGAAATCATCTGAACCGATTTAGCTAATATAGGTGTTGAAATATTCGTGAAAGTCCAAATAAGGTTTAAAACGTGAGAAAAAATGTTTAAGGCGATAAGAAAAGGTAAATTCTCGGTCACAAGTTTTTAGAACTTACCGATCAAGTTTCGATATATCGTCATTTTAGAATTTTTATAGTTAATTGAAATACAATGACATTACTTGCAATTGCTGGTTTGGCTAAAATGTGTGTTTAAAAATTTGCGGTCGGAATTAGTGGCCGGTAGCTATTTTTTTTGAAGGGGGGAAAATCATCGAAATACTGCTCTCGCCTGGGTGAGGCGGGACGGAGTGTCAGACTCTTACTGACTAAAAACCTCCCAGTTCCTTCTCCTGCGCTTCGAGCCGGAGCCCCGATAACCCGTTAGGTTCTCCGCGACTGCCGGTAGCTATTACATGGGACTCATGGCATAACTAGTGAAAAGTTTCTTGCCTGCCTCGATAGCCGAGTGGTCGCAAGTGCCACTGCCGGGCAAGGGGTCGCGGGTTCGATTCCCGGGTCGGGCAAAGTATTATTAGGTTTTTTTTAAAAATCTCAGTAGTAGCACGGAGTCTGGAAATGTGCCCGGTATATGGCAATAGGCTCACCCCCTATAACATGGGCCTCATAACATAAATAGTGAAAAGTGGGTGTTACTTCTGTGTGCACCTCTGCCTACCCCTTCAGGGAGAAAAGTCGTGATGTTATGTTATGTAATGTGCATAATCTGATATTATCTAATGTTACCACACGTATTGAAATCTTACCTCTATAGATCTAACAATGTAACAAAAAGCTTTCTCTAATCCAAGTATTACCACAAAACTAAGTTAAAATGTTAATTACATAGAAATAATACTGACTGAGGTCAAAACATTAACGAAGTTTAGCCCAAAATGAAATTTAAACCTCTGAATACAAATCAAAAGTTAGATTTAATAATCAGTAATAGGATAACCCGATGGCGCGGAAACAAAGTCTCAAGTGAAATGAATTAAACAATTTCGAATTTAAAATTCATTGTGCGAAAGTAGATTTTTATTTGACTCATTTTCAAGATTTGATCTTTTAAGATCAAGTTTACAATTAGTTTTTATTTTAATTGTTATTGTTTTTGAAATCATTTTATTTTATCTTATAGTGAATTAAATAAGCTGCATTCAGAGTGCCAAGCAGGAATAACTATCGCATTCGTAACGTAATAGTATCGAGTGCGTTCTGCGCTCTGATTGGCCGGCTTAAGTGAACCAACCAATCAGAACGCTTAACTCGCTCGATACTGTTACGATACGAATGCGATAGTTATGAAACCGGTTATAGTTAAGTTTTTATGAGTGGAAAATCCTTATTAAGTATCCTGCTCGCCCGTGGAAGACAAAGGGGACTTTCAGTTATTTACTGACTTTCAACCACCCTGATTTCCCGCTTTGAACGTTGTACGAAGGTTCAGAGTACACATAATCTTAAATTACTGCTTGACTCCTGAGATGGAAGTTGTCGGGGTATGCCAATGCTCAACAGTGGAAAGCCTGTGGCTAATATAATGATGATGAGACAACCTTAATAAATTCAACAGTAAAAACGCTTGCAATTTTTAAGTACCTCTATCCCAATTAGTAACGTTCAGTTTTTAAAGTTCTCTGTAGAAATACAAAGTCGGTATCTACTCCAAAAAACTCAACATGTTCGACTTGAGATCAGAGCAACAGAATACAATTGTCCACCGTTGTTTAAAATTAGTTCTAGAACATTTAGTTCCAATTTTAAAACTAGATGGCGTTGTTAGTTTACATCCATTTACTGAAACGTGGTTAACGACTCTCCGTGAAGATTATTATAAATCAGTTCAGCCAGATTGGCAGCAGTCGTGAAATTTAGTACGCCGTGACCAAAATATACACATACAAACACAAAGATTACAAAATATCTTCATCTGGTCGAAACCAAAGACACTACAACCATAATTATATTTATAGACATGTACCTACGTGTTAAAATTTGAAATTCACCGAGCGCCCCACGAACGCATACAACCGTTAAATGAATGAACTTTTTAACTTAAGGTCTCAACTTACCGTTTAATACTTACTTTGAAGCCGCTATGATGAACAACGCCCTTACTTTTAATGACTTTTTGCTAATATCTGGCGGCTTTCGGCTTTTGAGGGCAAAACTTTTGGGGCCTTCGATTTTTTCTTTTGGAATAGAGGTCGAGTATAGATGTTGTCGTATTTTGTTCTGATGTTAAAGATTTACTTGGAGTTAGATTAAATTGTTTGGTGTGATAATTTGTAAAATTAATGGTTTTATGAAAATTGCTTTACGTGTGCTTATTGTTTCTATTACTTTCTTTCTTCATTATTTCTGTACTATTAACTTAAGTGTGAAAATTACATAGACAAAATATGACTGAACCAAATTGGCAGTTACTGTTGAACTGATTTAAGTATAAAAAGAAAGCAAAAATCTTATAAAACACTTACATGATAATATAACATCACGCCTTTTTACTCCCGAAGGAGTAGGCAGAGGTGCACATTGCGGCTTTTAGTGCCACTGTGCAATGTAACACCCACTTTCCACTATTTATGTTATGAGTTCCATGTAATAGGGGGTGAGCCTATTGCCATAGACCGGGCGCAATTCCAAACTCCGTGCTACCACTGAGATTTTTGTTTTAATAACCCCTTGCCTGTCAATCGCACTTGCGACCACTCGGTACAATGAGGCAGTCTACACTTCAGTATACACTTACATGAAAGACCAATGTAAATAAAACAAAACCATGCAAAATGAATCAACATAAATACGTGCTGGGAAAGATCGTCCCGGGACAGAGGGCACACAATTATACAAATCCCGAGGTAAGATATCACACAATCTGGGATCATAGTCAGGGGATGTTCAACACGGCGTCACTTTGACGAACATAAGGAAACCATTTAAAATACCAAATTAAATTATGACTGATAACTTTATCACAACAACTGTCAATATAATAAGACTAAAATATTTAAATTTGTATTTAACTTTTAGTAATTGATCTTAAGTTTGATTAAATTGACACGTGTTTGCTGATTACTAAAGCCTGCATTAATTGCATAAAGTTGAATTAAATTTCTGCTCAGCATATAATTTGATCGCATAAAAAAATCAACAATACACTTAAATATGTATGTATTGGTAGTTCGCCGCCCGACCAGAACCAGACCCGAGCGTACGGCGCGTCGCGTTCCGCGCGTGACTCTAAGAGCCATCAGACCACCACAAATGGGGCCCAATAGAGCTGATGCCAATACGGAGCCGTGGAAGGCCTAACGGGTTGCCGGGCTCCGGCTCGAAAATCAGTACTAGGAACGGGATGGTTTTTAATCAGTAAGAGCCTGACACTCCCTCTCGCCTCGCCCAGGTGGAAGAAGACATTCCATGATTTCAACAAATAATTATGTATCATATACAATCTATACAGCTTTCATAAAACGATTATGAAGTACTTAACCTAAAAATTATAACATATCCATCAAAATTTAATTCTTAAGGCACGAAACCCTTGAAAAACCATTTATTAATGATGAATATGCAAACGAAACAAAAGCCAAAGAGCATATTGTAATGTTAAGCAGTTCCGGGGCGAGAGACAGCGTTATGCAAATCCCGGGACAACTTGTCACGGGATCCCGGTTCCGGGATCACGGTCGACCGCCGATGTCGACACCAAAGCATCTTAGAACTGTCTGGAATTAATATACAAGCTATATATATGTATAAATTGTTAATGGTGTTACTTTTAGGGGGTTGTCAGTCACAGGTTGATCTGTGGAAGTCACTTTAAGTAAAAGGTACAACTAAGTAAAGTGAAAACTTATTCTGATTTTAAAATGGACTGAACAGACGAACAACACCTTTTCCGCCTGGCCAATGACAAGGACCAATTCAAAAAGTTGACGGCCAACCTTCAGGTATGTAGTGGCACCATAAGAAGAAGAAACAAAGAAATGTGAGATAATGTAGGTACTCGTAATGAAGAAAATTTTGAAATCCAATTCGAAGTGCGAGTAGTATATGAAAAGAATACTAGAATATTTTTCTATAGTTTAATTTTACAAATATTTTCTGAATAAACAATTGACCCAATGTTTTACTTAACAATGAAATCCAATCCAACAAGGTCCTTTACACTTTTATTGCGTGCAAAAGTTTATACGTATCACATTTCACAGTTAAAATAAATCTCAGCTCGGCCACCGCTAGCGAGGGCGCCACTCGTCTATTTATAGTCATTTGCATACTGGACGCCGACACCACCACACGTTCGCGAACGTTCGTGCGAACAAAGACATTTTAATATTTAATTTTCTATTTAGTATAATTGCCCACATATCTCGTCCACTAAAAAGTTTTAGCACGTTAATTTCACAGTACAATTCTCACTGTTTAACATTATAAATCAGTGCATTTTTTAATTGACGTCAAAAACATTCTTCCTCGTAATCCTTCGTGGTGTTTACAATGCTTAGACCATTCTGTAAACAGTTCCATCCTTTCTTTATATTCCACTGTAATAATCTTTCTCAATCATGTTTAAGATTTCGAGGATTATCGTTGTTTGTGGGTACGCTTACTTTCTGATACAGTATTTAAAGTTATCCTTAAAACCAGTGATAACAGAAATTAACATAGAATACGTGTACCGTTTGCCCCACACTATGAATAAACACAACAAAATGTTAACAACTCATTACAATGTAAGTACATATATAAGATCGTATAAGAAGCCAGAGAGATTTAAAACTGATATCAAATTCATACTGAAGTTTACGGCAGCGTTTTCTCAAGATGGAACACCATTGTTCAAAACCGGTCAAAGTCCTTTCATTGAGAACAATTGTACGTATTATAATTGTTACTTAACAACAAATAAGGAATTACTAAGAGATTTAAGAGACTTCGACGCTATAGTGTACGATGTCGAGCACTATTGGGATGGACAGGTAGTGTTAAGACATCCCTATCAAAAATTCATTTTCATGGCGTCCGAATCAGCTGCTAACTTCCCTCTATGCGATGCTTTGTACGACGATTATTACAATCTGACATGGACTTACAAACTAAACTCAGATATTCGCTGGACTTACATAACTATTACAGACAAAAAGGGCAATTTTGTTGGTCCAAATATAAATATGACTTGGGTGAATCCTATGAAGCCTACACCCGATGAGATTAGGAAGAAGATAGCTAAGAAGACGAAAGCAGCTGCTTGGTTTGTGTCTAACTGTAAGACAGTAAGTGGGCGAAAAAATGTGACGAAATTGATTGAGAAAGAGTTGAAGAGATACGACATTAATTTGACAATAGACATTTATGGATTTTGCGGTAAGAAAAAATGTCCCAAAGATAATATAGAAGAATGCTTGTATTTCCTCGAATCGGATTATTATTTCTATCTAGCATTTGAGAACTCGATCTGTGAGGATTACGTCACCGAGAAGGTTCTGTATCCATTGCAGAATTATGCAGTACCTATAGTGTTCGGCGGGGCAAACTATTCCAGGTATGTGATTACTTTTAGTGTCATTTCACACGTTCCGGGTAGCCGGCGCCGGGTACCCGACTGTACTGCAGCTTTCACACATACCGGCGTAATTTGTATGGACTACGCCGCCAGGTACCTGGAACTGGCTACCAACAACACGACACAAACCTGTGAAAAGGCACTAATTGTGTAGGTATATATTAGTTGCAATAAATTATGTTCTGGGTAATTGTTACGTGGCATAAGTAACTGGGGCCTATGATTTAATTACATAGTTATCGAGTGTAATGTAGTCTGTAGTTTTTGACATCCAACTGTTTTTGTTAACAATTAGTTATAGTAACGTACCTACTTTATTTTTAAGTCAACCTAAAGTTTAAATAGAAAACTTCTAATTACATTTTTGACTGCAAACACAAACATTCAATATCGGACAGATTTTTTTGTATTACAACATTTAATTCTGATTTTGTATTCCATTGCAGGTTCCTTCCACCTGGTTCATACATCAATGCAAGAGAGCTGCCCGCTTCTCAAATAGCTAATTTGATGTTTAAAGCGATAAACAATCCGAAAATCTATGAAGACTACTTCAGGTATGTATTGTTGTAATGGTAGGCGCTCTCCTATAGCCCTTTTAATTAAACTGTGATCTCCATACCATGTATCAAGGGGGTGGAGATTATAGCAAGAACTGCAGCAATTTGCTGTTGAAGATCATCCAGATCGTAAATATATTAAATGTTTACGATCTGGATGATCTTTTATGAACTTCTGAACTATTTCTCTTATTTATTAATAATTGCAGATGGCACAACCACTATGAATACATAAAGACCCCACCAGATCTCGATGTGTGCAAGCTCTGTCAGATTCTTAACGAGGATGGTGATAAGCACTCCTCATACAAACACTTCAGATCATGGTGGAACCCTAATTATTCTTCAATGTGCACCAAAGGAGTCGGCAAATTCCTCGCCATGAAGCCAAACTCCATGATGCTGGCAGAAGCTGAAAAAAAGTGAGAAATTTGGGGGTGGAGGCATTTTTGTTTAAATTTTCCGTATTAAAAAATTTGATGTGATTTAGTATTGGGATTTGTGGGGTTACCCCACACTAGGATTTTGAGGAGAAAAAATTTCAGGCAGAAAAAATTTCATGTGAAAATTTTCAGAAAATCCTAGTGCGGGGCAACGTAATAACGACGCCCACTAGTATGTCGTGGGTGCGCTTACAAACATACAATTTCACATGCACCTGACACCCAGACCAGGAACAACAATCTGCGGCTCACACAAAGAGTTGTTCCGTGGAGGCACCGATTCCGCAAATCATGCAGTAAATAGTCAATTTAGATTATGTTTAAGAATAAAGATAAGAGAGAAGTTTTTGTTTCATTTTTATTTATGTTCTTGGAAGTGGCCCCTTTTTTGTGATACTGTAATGTTCCAAAAGGAGGCTACCGAAAAAAATCGTGAGAGGGCCGATCTTGCTCATAGAAGGCGTCGAGGCGACAACCGCCTTGACGCCTAAGACGCTGCAATCCTGCTTCTATGAACTGCAGGCAGAGCTTTAGTGCCACGGGTGAATAGAGTGGGGACTCTAGTTGCTCATCCAGTGGCCTCAGGGAAGACGGTAGCACAGTAGACACGTGCTGCCGTGTAAAGAAATGATCAAGGGACACGCACGTCTCCCTAGGGATGTGAGTGCACGGGAGCATTCATTAAGGTACGAATTCGACATTTCTTAATCTTTATCCGCAAAAAGCAAGGCGCCTTTTGAAGGTTTCCACCGTCATCATAGGGTAAATGAATTGAAATATGAGCATTGTCAGACACGACATACCATAAGTAGTTACAATCAAATTTCATTTCTAATAATAACCCAACCCAAAAACAGACTAATATCACAAAAAACAAAAGAGTAAAGTCGAATCCCAAACAAGCAAAATATAATATAATATAAATGTATAAGCAAAATAAACAAAATAGCATTCAAATAAATAAAACATTATCAGAAGTTCAAAGTGGAAACTATAAAGGTTTACAATTGTATAATACGATTCAAGTCCGGTAGGAAAGCAATCCTCTTAGTTCGCTCGTAATAGGGACTCATTATTCAAAGCCTCAAATTTTCGCCGAGATAATTCCAATTAGACTGCCAATGGACAAGTCATTCAGAAGTCCAATATAATGTAACTTTTATTACGAAAGGAACAAGTTTTGGAAAGCATTTATGTGTTTATTGTGATGAATTCAGTGTTTGTCAGTACACTTTAATGATGTTCTAGGTTAGCATTTGACTAACTATATAGTAATATCATAGCATGTAAAGTTTAAGAATACATACCTCCTTACGAGATATTATTTTCATTACAAATCACTATATTGTAAATACAGTTATGCATATATTATCCAAATTCCCCCTCTCCAATCCCCAATCCCCAATCCCCAATCCCAATCCCAATCCCAATCCCCAATCCCCAATCCCCAATCCCCAATCCCCCAATCCCCAAATCCCCTGAAAGCTGGTAACGCACTTGGTAACTCCTCTAGGGCATCCATGATGCGGGTCTGCGGGCGGTGTACAAGAACAGCTCGCCTCCCCAATCCCCAATCCCCAATCCCCAATCCCCAATCCCCAATCCCCAATCCACAAATCCTCAATCCCAATCCCCAATCCCAATCCCCAATCCTCAAATCCTTAATCCCAATCCCCAATCCCCAAATCTCCAATCCCCAATCTTCTTATCTCAAACCCCCGAAACACCGGTAACACATTTGTAACTTCTTTTGTTGTGGTGAATGTCCATATTGTCCATGGGTGGCGCCCGCCGGTTGGTCACCATAAGGAAATCCATCTATTAGTTTGCCGGTCTATTCCATAAAATAATCATGTCCCATACTCTTACAATCTCCAATTCTAAAGACCAGTTCAAACTAGTACTTCTGCTTGTTTCCTATAGTGTAATCACAGTCATCGTCACCATCGGCATTTTTTTTCGAGCGACATAATTAAAATTTCTGCTGACACCTTGCGAAGATTAAAGCTATTAAATTTTGATGACTGAAGGCCATCGGCTGAAAAATTTGGTGAAAATTATCGTTTTTTCTCTCATTTTGACTTTATGCGTCTGCAAATTTTACCAATGGTGAATCAGTTAAGGTAACTGAAGAGATTTTAACTCATTGAGTACCGTCATTATAGACACGATTAACTCGTCGAGTACCGGTTTTGTAGACACATTTATAGAACAATAGGTTGCGGTCACCGGTGACCGCTTGGTGTTTGACAGTTTAAAGAACAATAGGTTGCGGTCACCGGTGTCCTCGCGGTGTTTGACAGTTTAAGAGATATGTCAAAGAGAAATCTTTTTGAAAGGCAGGCAACGCTCTTGTAACTTTTATAGTTGTGGGTGGCCATGGGTGCGGCTGATCGCTTACCATAAGGTGATCCGTATGCTAGTTTGACCTAGAAAAGATAGACGTGTACCGAAAAACATCGAAACGAATAAATTCAAATAGTGTATGTACATTTTGAATTATTAAATGAAATATTAATTTAATTAAATACCTACTATTTTAAACTAGATTCTGCCCGCGACTTCGTACGCGTAATCCAGTGTTTACCCGTTCCCGTTCGTGATTTTCGGTAAAAAGTAAAAAAAAAGTATTGACTAAAAAGTATCCTACGTCCAGCTCCTGATTCTAATCTACCTCACCACCAATTTTCATTGAAATCGATTCAGCCGTTCGTGAGTTATAAATAGTGTAACTAACACGACTTACTTTAATAAATATATGTAGATGATTTAAAAAAATGTGGAAAACTAGGATTCGATACCCTATTATTAATATTTAAATTAATAATATTGAAATAGTACCTACATGGCTTGTTTTCATGTGGTCCGCGACACACATTTTAATCCCAACATCCTAATCTTATGTGCAACAACAATAATCAAATTCAGTGTATAATTTGTATACAAGTTTAGTCTATGAGTAAAGAATATAATGCTAAACGAAATTTCATTATACAACTGAAAATATTTTTCTAGCCCTCCAGCTTTTGTGCCGATTCGGAGTCGCGGTGAACCTAACGGGTAACCGGGGCTCCGGCTCGACGTGCAGGAGAAGGAACGGGGTGGTTTTTAGTCAGTAAGAGTCTCACACTCCCTCCCGCCTCACCCAGGCGGGAGCAGTCATTCGATGATTTTCCCCCCTTAAAAAAAAAGCCCTCTAACTTTTGTAAGACATTTAATTAGCCCGCGAGAGTATATAGTTTGAACAGCCCTAATTTAGAGGATAATATTCTGTGATCAACTCCTTGGACAAAGAAGTAAAGCCATTATGCCAATTTGACATAAGTTTTAAACATAATTTATCGAATGTCAATATCAACTCCATACATAAACCTCTCCATTCACGCACTACCATTAAAAATAAATACAACCAGTGACAAACGAAACCAACATCAGCTCTACTATAAGTAGGTACTTATACAGTACATGGTATACAGGATGCGACTGAACTAAATGCCGGACAACTGACGTTAACTACACAAACCGTTAATTGTAATGCAAACCACTGCTCCTAATGATGATCTTATTGTTGTGTTTTGGATATAACTACTAATAGTTACCGCTAAATAATTATGTGCAGTCATCACAGATAAGATAAACATATTTGTTTATTATTATTATTTATAGTTACAATGTATAATTATGTTTTGCTTAATAAATAAAGTATGCAAATTTTAACTTATAACTTACTTGCGACCCGCCTCGGCTTCGCACGGATGCGATATGCATGTATTATAAATATAAACCTTCCTTACGAATCACTCGATCTATTAAAAAAAGCCGAATCAAAATCCGTTACGTAGTTTTAAAAATTTAAGCATACATAGGGACACACAGACGGCGGATAGCGACTTTGTTTTATACTATGTAGTGATTTTAACTTACTTATACACAACA